CGGCGCTCATTTGTATTGAAGCCATCCAGGCCGAGTCCCGGCGCTCCAGTGAACCCCAAACCGAGCGCTGCCAGATGAGGGTCGCCCGGCGGGGCAAAAGTTGCGGGGTTTAGAGAGCTGGAGTGTGGATTCGACGGCTGTACACTGTGCTGAGGGCCAACGTGATCGTGGGGAGACCCAAAGCCTTGCGGCGCAGAAGGTGCCGCAGGTGCTCGTGTGCCATCGAGCTGCTGCATGGCTTGCAACTTTGTCGAAGCAGCATTTACGTGCTGAGACTCTCTCTGGGCATGCTGTGAACTCGGTCCTCGAGAGCTGACAGGACTTCCCCTCCTACTAGAACCACGACTGGGTGCTCTGCTAGCTGTGCGGCTATTGGCAGTGGATGACATGGCAAGCGCGTGTCCGTCGATGCTCTTGCTAGACGAGCTGCGCGTATGTCCTGTATTGCCCTTGACCACAGATGCAACGCGACCCGTCTTCCACGCCTCTTGGGCTTCCGCGCTAAGCGTCCACCAGCTGCCCTTGCCGGCTGCGGAGGATGGACGCGGTACTTTGACGAATAGGTTGCCCTTTATGGAAAGCGTTGATTTGATTCGATTCTTTACTCTCGCCTGAATGTGCGCCCGTGATTTGCTCGGCTGTCAGCGCGGCCAAGGCAACGAGCCGAAGCAAGTCTACAAAATGCCAGCACTTACCTCCCAATCTTTCCCGAACGCCCACTCCCTGATCTCGGGGAATTTGGTGCACATCTGCTCGAAGAGGTCCTGAATGACGAGCTTGCCCTGATCTGACTCGGCAATGGTCTGCAGGGTACGCGAAGCATGCGATGAAATGCGGAGGGCGAGCAAGAGCAGAGGCGAAGACTATCAGAAGTGGTGACAAGCTGCCTAGGGCGATCCTATCTCAGACGCACCTGGCATATCATCTCGCTCCAATTGAGCCTTTTGCCAGTGACAGCGCTCGCAGCAAACCTGCTGTTGTTGCCCTGATGCGCATTCAGACCTCCTGGAGTGGACGCGCCAGTCGCTGCACCGCTAGTCGGCAACCTCCGAGGAGCGGCTCCGGGACTGCTAGCCGCGCTTCCAGGCAAGGAATTCGAATAGTCGGAAAGAGCGCTGCTGAGGGCGTGAGGGTTGAGATTTGGAGGTGCGCCTTGAATTCCTGGCCCAGCGACGCTGAATCCACCCAAAGCCGGATTGGAAGGGGACCGCTGGGCAGCGAGGGCGTAATATGAAAGCTGGGCGTTGGCGTAGGCGAGTGCAGGATTGGACGAGTCTGCGCCGGAATTTTGAGGTATTTGGGGCTGGGGCATGCCCTGCACATGTTGGTGTTGCTGCTGCGGCATGAATTGGTTTTGCTGAGGCATTGCTGCTCCCAAAGCAGAGTATTGGGCCATTGGACTGAACCCCATCGGAAATGGTTGACCGGCACTCGCACTACTGGCAGCAGGATGCTGGCCTATGGCGACCCCTCCGCTGCGGGGCGAAGACTGGGCGTGGTGTGGGTTTATCCCAGTCATGCTCAAGCCGGCGAAACCACCCAAGCTCCCAGAACTGGAACTGTGTCGCAAGCCATGACTGGGCGCTGCTATATTGGAAATGACCGAGGCCGGAGATGAGACGCCACTGGCGCGACCAGAGTGGATACCTCCTGGCGCACCAAAGCCGGAACCGCGTCGTCCTGGCGAGCCTGGTCGAGAAGCATACGGCGAGGATGCAGCGGATTCAAAGTTCATGATAAGAACTTAGCAGCGAGGATGAGGTGAGCGTATTCAAAGGAGAGCTTGACCCGATTATCGATCTTGTATTGTCCATGCAACAAGGTACGATGAGGCCTCGACACGCTGATGAGCGCATACACGCTGCGGTGTTTGCGCGTCGTCCCAAAGCTCGGCGCGCCTTTGCGAATCGTTCGACGGTTTGGCGCCGTCGTGCGCGACGTCTTGATGCTCTGCGCTCTGGTAGATAGATGTGAAGACGACTCGGTCTCTCCGAGTCGGAATGAGCTGAATCGTGAATGCGAAGCGATGGTCCGTCGTGCAAGAGGCTTCCGGCCTGAGCCCCGCGTTGTGCTGCGCGTGATTGCGGTCACGTGAAGTGGGCGCGATGACCAGCAGCTCTGTCCTCAGGATATGGTGGTCTGAGACCCCACGGTTATAAAGGTAGAATGACTCCTGCGACTGAGCGAGACAAAAGGAGCGTTTCAGTGCGGTAGAGGGTATAGGAGAGGCTCAGGGTCAAGAATGTTGAGGTAGGTCGTGGAGGTGATAATGATTGGATGGCGGCATTGCTCTCTCTGCCTCGCCTGTGCGCGTCGCCAAGTGTGGAGACATCCATGCGCGAAGGCTGGTCCGCGTGTGCAGGCGTGC